CGCCTATGCCACTGCCACGTCAGCGGACCTCGCTCCGTGTTTAGATCCTATTTTTCTACAGAGAAGGAAGAGGACAGCGACGACAGCCAAGAAGACGATGACGGAATCAAAAGTAAAATTTAGAAAAGGAGAAAATCATACCTTCATCAATGAGTCTCCTTCGTCATCATAACCGATGCCCAAAATCTGAGATGATGGAAGAGGAGGTGCGTTGATGATGCGAGCAATAATACTCATCTTTGGAAATTAATGATTTAAGAAAGTGGGAGAGCGTTGCCGGAGGTGAAGCGTAACCGATGGAGAATGAAAGGAACGAAGGCTTAGGCCCCCAATTTCTTAACTCTGTTTAACGATAAAAAGGGATAACCGGATAAAGTTGTTATATTTACAATAGTTAAAGGGTATTTTGGGTTAATGAAAGTTTTTCATGAACTCCCTCTTTTAAAGGGTAGATGATAGATGATATGGATAGATAAGAGTTTTTTTTTTGTTGAACTCATATAAATGAGCGGTTTCATTAGAATACATGAGGTTTTTTTTATTAACTTAAGGGCCCGTTTATTTCATTTTACGTAAAAAAAGAAAACCCTCATTTATATGAGTCCAACAAAAGAAACTCTTATCTTTCTTCCAAAAATCAACCTCAGATCATAGAAAAAAAAGCTTTATCTCAAACTTCCTCTTCCAAGGCAATCTTGTTATCTTAGAACAGGAAAAACAAGTAGCATTCTATAATTATTTCTCCAACCTCTTTACAACCCATGAAGAAGCCTTGTTTGAACAAAATTGGTCACTTCTGTATCCCCAAAACAACTCAGACCTCCTCACCTTAGAGTCCCCCTTTACTCATGAAGAAATAAAAACTGCAGTGTTTGGTCTACACCTAGAAAAATCTCCTGGGCTAGACGACATATGTCCATTCTCTTCTACCAAAATTCTAGTCACTTAATGAAAAAGACATCTTCTGTTTCATCCAATCTCTGTATTATGACGCCCTCCCCCTCCATAGGATAAATCAATCATTCATAACTCTCATTCCTAAGGCTGAAGGAGCATGTAATCCTAGAGATTTTAAACCAATTAGCCTGCTTATGGTATTTTCAAAATCTTCATCAAAGTCCTAGCAAATAGGCTATCCCCTTTCCTATCCTCCCGTGTTGATGACACTCAGTCAGATTTTCAAGATGCAAATCCACCATAGACTCCATCCTCCTTGCACATGAGATGATTCACTACTGGTCATCGGGTAAAAAAGATATATGTGCCCGCAAGATAGATATCATGAAAGATTTTGACAGTGTGAGTCGGGATTTTATCCACTCACTCCTCAAAGTTAGAGGCTTTGGTTCTACTTGGTGTTACCGGATCAAGCACAGTCTATCCTCATCCAAATCTTCTATTATAATAAATGGCTCTCATTCTTCCATTGCCACAGAGGATTGAAACAAGGTGACTCCTTGTCCCCCATGCTATTTATTCTTGTCGTGGATGTTCTTAATAAGATGATAAATAGCAGTGTAGCCTCAGGGGACCTCTCTAAACTTCACCTCAAAGGTGACCTTAACCATATAAGATCCCTCCAATTTGTAGATGATGTTATCATCTTGTGCAGAGCTTACAAACACGATGTCTCTGTTATGGTGATCCATTCGATAAAATATGGTTCATTGCCAAACGATGGGTTAGTAAAAACTCGATATAGGCCCCAATCAATTTGGAGGCCCAAGCCTAATAGAGAGTCCAACTAAGCCAACTGAATGAGTTGATGTTTCTTCATGCGGACTCGAAAGGCAGTACCAGTCGACCCTCTCGTTGACAATGACTTGCCAAGAGTCCACTCGACCAGTCGTCCTATGCCTCACAAGGACGACTCGAAGAGACATTGCTTCTCAGCGAAGCTAAAGGGTATCTTCTATTATGAAGCTTATCCATACTGACAACATAGCAACGTCATATCTACAAATGGATCGGCCATCAAAACACCTCGGGGCTTGTTAGCCCACGTCACTTGTCAACCCATGTGGGCTCTGACACATCGCCAATCACTCCCCAATCGAGGCCGAAGTGATCTCCCCCATGTCGTTGGTCGACACCTGTAAAGCAAAAGCTGACTCAACTGCCAGCACTACACTTCGCCACCACCCTACTGTGCTTGGCCGAAGTGACCAACCTACCCTCATACCCCTAGGTATAAATACACTCACTATTCAACCTTCCAAAAAGGTTGGTTCACAATCTTGAATCCCCCTAACGCACACGTTGCACAATGACAAGAACACAGTTCTTCCTTTACCCCCACTCAAGTCACCAGCTAACTTGATCGTTGGAGGTACCACGGGGAAACCGATCCCCACCCTCTCACTACTTCTTATGCTTGTAGAATGCTCAACAATCCTAACTCAAGAACCAGACAAAAAGTCAGGGAAGAAAACAACCCCCTTTTATCACTCCACGACTACAACCACATCCAAACAAAGACTCAACTGGCTGTCTGATCATAGTCATCAACAGTTTGGCGCCCATCGTGGGGCCTTCTTTCTTTTTTGAGAAGATGTGTCAAGTTCTGAGCAAGGGTCTGGTCCATCTCACCCTAAAAAACGACACCAGAGCTATATTACTCAAGCCCGACTTGAATAAAGCTCACCAGCTCTCCCAGTCCTTCAGAAGAGCAATTTGCCCCTCTTCAAGAAAACATGTTAGACCTTAGGGGGAGGCCGCCTAGCTTTACTCTGGACGATATTAGAGCTATATCACCCAATCTAAACGGAGTCTGGATTTGTATCACTCAAGCTAAGAAGGGTTCGGTTTTGGCTGAGAAGAGTCGACATTGTCCTCTCTCTCAACAACTTTAGCAACCATTTTGGGAGTATTTGCCAAGTTAACCATCCTTACGATGGAAGATCTCCCATTACCTTCAAAGCTTCCTTAAGAAAACCACCAAGCTTTGTATCTTTGAAGAAAACAACTCCAGCTACCCGAGGATAAGATTGCGGGAAAAACTCGCAGTCTGTTGGCCAATTGTCTTCTTAGGAAGGGCAACCCCCGATCCCTCAACTGGCAACTACATTACCAAAGTTACCTAAGCCTCTATATTCGAATCATACAACTCGCAAGAACTCCATCAGGAAGACCTGCATGCATCCCGGGAGAATCCTAACTAGAAGTTCGCCAACCGAAAAGTCCCAGAAAGAAGGACTCTAGCTGTCACGCCCCACTTCCTAAAATACCCGGGAATTGAGATGTGAGCAAGCTCCCGACGTATTAGACTAAGGAGAAATAAGTATTAGACATTCTTCTCAATCTAATACGCTAAGCGTCAAGCAGTATAAAACGAAGTCACAGGTCCCTGATCATACATAACAAGAATATAATGAACAACTCAGATTGGAAAAGAGGTATATCACAAATACAATATCATCCGAGACACAGAGTTTAGGTCAAACATGCCCTTATTACAAAATAGTCCAAATAAGTACTAAAGAAATATGAAAATACATCGTTCAACAGGAATAGAAATAAAGTACTACAAAAGAATAAACTAAGGACCATCAAATAACTAAGGAAATAGCTAAGCTTCAATTTGTTCTTCCGCTCCGTCTACAAGGCATTCCTACTGAGAATCCTCTGGCTCCTGTACGATTCTGAACTGAGGCTGTCTGTCTCCTAAATCTGACGTACACCAAATAAAAAAGGTGTACGTTAGCATGCATGGCACACAGCAAGATCCCACAGAGAGAATAGAAATGGTCGAATGACCAATGCAAGAACAAGTAAAAGTAATAATAGAAGCATGATATTAAAATTCTAATAATTTAAATGCAATTCATCCCTAGAATATAATAATCAGAAGAATCCAAGAAAATCAACCAAGTAACAAGATCATGCAGCTAGCGATTAGAATAATCATCCAAGTAACAATGTCATACAACTAGATGGAATTAATACTTAAAAATCTACAACAAGAGGTAACAATGTCATACAACTAGATGGAATTAATACTTAAAAATCTACAACAAGAGACGTAGTACGTCGAGCAAAATAAACTAGATGGAATTAATACTTAAAAATCTACAACAAGAGACGTAGTACGTCGAGCAAAATAATCCAAACAAAAAAACCCTCATGTATATACCATATGTCTCTAATTGTAGATAATTAAATATTAACCCTGATCTATGTATGAAAAGAAATACAACTAGCCTATATCTCACAAGAATCCATAATCACCTTAAGTAACAATGTCATGTAACTAGTCATTCTATAACAGGTCACTAGTCACACTCACATAGAGTCAACGCTCATATCATCAAATAACTGACTATTCATAAATCCCCTACGTGCATCCAAACCCGCAAAATGGTTCGGTGAGAGGACTACACGTAATCTGATTTTGGCCTGGTCCGAACACAAGCTAAACTCAGGTGACGTTCACTGACCAAGTACGAAACGATTCACTTGGCCCAACAAACCAACCCTAGTGCGAAACGGTTCACTGGTGCGAGTCTGGAAGATACATCAACAGTCACATCCGATCACATGTACAAAGACTTCCCTATCCTAACTCTTCTCGTTTTTCTAAGTCAAATATAAACCACACTATCTCTAGTTCACCACCTAAATTCAGTTAACGCAACCACACATGTCACTAGGTCTGTTCGTGACGCACGAGACCACTAAGTCACGAACTACTAAGGGTTCTCAAACTCAACAAGGAACAGTAAAAGTCTAACTAATTCTATGTATAACAAGATGACAAGTCAAATACATTAAAATAAATCACAAAACATGAAATGTAATTACGAACAGTAAAATTATGCATGCAGTCCGGTTTCATTAATACCTTGTTATTCAAACTTCTAAAACTACTCATAAAAATTATCAGCAGCTAGATAACATCTAATATACCTACGGTCAAAAGAAAATTAAAAACCGTGATTGTTTTACACATAAAATATCGTAGTCTGCAATCATCAACACAAGATCA